CCTGAATAAGAGTAGCTCTCCCATCCTTGCAACCTTGCAACCTCTTTTGAACTCTTTAAATGATGTAGTTGAAGGTACTCTTTAAATCTCTAGTAGAATATTCTTTTATTTTTTATTTTCGGGTAAAATGAAAAGGGTAATTACATTGTTTAATTTAGGCACGTGAGTCAAACTAATTAATGAGCAACGTGGGCAACTATTAATGAGACATGTAAGAATGAATTAAGTAGGAAACATACTGGAAAAATGGTTCTTAACAGCTTTCCATTTTTATCTAAAAATGATTCTGGAAATATGACAAATGGTGCTTATATGATTCTCCAAATACATAGTTTTTAAATTTTAATTCTAAATCTTGATGACACATTTTCATGCATCTGAAACATGAAGTGTCTTCTGGACTAGAATGTAAATAATAATGTTTTTGTTGGATTTAAAGGGATATGAGCTGTTGAAAAATATAAGATTTCTATTTGATAAATCTATGATTTCTACTAACTATTGATATGCTGCTTTGGTTTTTGTTGCAGGTAACTTTTCTCTTCCACTTGCTTCGCTGCTCTTTAAACCCTCGTGCGTCTTTGAGGTATGATTTCATTCTAAATTTGAGTGTGCCTTTACTATATCACTGTTTAATAGTGTTAGACTAAAGAATTTTATCTTATAAGAATTTTATCTTAAATTTGAGTGTGCCTTTACAAATACATTATTCTTATAAGCAATTGTAATAACCAAAATTGCAATGTTTGCAATCGCATTCATACGGGACCGCAAAAGCACTTTAAAATCCTAGTACAAAGCAATATTAAGGTCGCACTCGCACACTGACACAACATAAGTAAATATTCTTGAAGTACCTAGCTAAATGTAGTAAACATATTGATATGAAGTATTTATCCATATATGTCTGTTACATGAAACTGTATTATACTAATTGATATCACAAGGCTTCACCTATAAACTTGTTATGTAGTGTGTAAAAACAAATTAAACAACCAATAATAAAACTCATCTCTTTTATTTTTGTTTATATTCAAAATAACATGTTCTCGTAAGTACTAGAATTCTGAAAATATAATTTTTTTTTGAAGAAATGGATAAGTCATGGATTATTAAGCCACAATCATCGATTGCGTATCAAAAAGGGATACAAGAATTTATTGATTTTTCATTTAAAGGTGCAAAAGAAAACAACGTAGTAATATGTCCTTGCAAACGTTGCGGTTTCAGAAAATTAAAGAGTAGGAGTGACATGTTCGACCACTTAAGTTGGTCACCATTTCCGCAGGGATACACCATGTGGATCCATCACGGAGAGTCTTTTGTACGATCTAGTACTATCTCCCCTAGTACTACTCCAAGTATGGTAGAAGATACTAACATTGTCGAAGAACCTATTCAGAACATGATCAACGATGCATTTGGAGTTTATGGGAATCATGCAAATGAAATACCATCTGCGTCAAATTTGGAGATTGAACAAGAAGATTATGTGATGCCAAGCTCAACTCAGGAAAGAAACAAAGCCAAGGAGTATTATGAGTTGGCTAGAGAAGGAGAACAACCTTTATATGAAGGGTGTAGACGATATTCAAGACTATCTTTTTTGGTTAAGTTGTACCATATAAAGTGTTTATGTGGATTGAGTGAGAAGGCAATGACAATGATTTTAGAGTTAATAAAAGATGCATTTGAATATGCAAACATTCCAAGTTCATTCTATGAAGCCAAGAAATCAATCACAAAACTTGGTTTGAATTATGTAAAGATACTCGCATGTCCAAACGGTTGTATGCTTTATTGGGGAGAAGATGAGGAGAGGGAGACTTGCAAAAATTGCAACACTTCAAAATGGAAAACAAATGAGGATGTCTCTGTTAACAAGAAAAAAAAAAGAAAATTCCTGCCAAGGTTCTTTGTTATTTTCCATTAAAACCTCGATTACAGAGATTATTTTTGTCATCAAAAATGGCAGAGGATATGAGATGGCATGCAACAGATACTAACAATGATGGAATGTTGAGGCATCCTAGAGATTCAGAAGCTTGGAAGAAATTTGACTTGACACATACTTGGTTTTCATCAGATCCACGGAATGTGCGTCTTGCATTGGCTAGTGATGGTTTTAATCCTTTTGGTGTGATGAGTACAAACAATAGTATTTGGCCAGTTGTTCTCATACCATATAACACTCCTCCATGGGTTTGCATGAAGCAGACATCATTTATAATGTCAATGATGATTCCCGGTAAAGAGGCACCAGGAAATAATATTGATGTCTACTTACAACCATTAATCAAAGACCTGAAGGAGTTATGGACAAGTGGTGTGGATACATACGATTCTTTCAAGAAAGAGATGTTCAAGTTGCATGCAAATTTGATGTGGACTATTAGTGACTTTCCAGGGTTGGGTTCACTTTCTGGGTGGAACACATACACAGGACTTGCTTGCCCACCGTGTAACTTTCAAACTACACCTCTCCGTCTTAAAGCTAGTCGTAAATGGTGTTTTATGGGTCATCGTCGTTTCCTTGATCGGAGACACAGGTTTAGATTGAACAAGATCCGCTTTAATGGTGAACAAGAAATGCGGAGTCCACCGAGAACATTATCTGGACATGAAGTTTTTGAAAAGGTTAAAGATGTTGAAGTCATCTTTGGTAAAAAGGCAGTGAAAGAAAAATCAGTAAAAAGAACACGTGAGGAACAACCTATAGAAGGTGATAGTACACAATGTGATCCTATAAAAGGTCATCCTCAACAATGGAAAAAGAAAAGCATATTTTTTGAACTTCCGTATTGGAAAGATAATCTTCTACGCCATAATCTTGATCCGATGCATATTGAGAAAAATGTGTGCGATAATGTCCTATTTACTCTACTGAATGATAGGCAAAAGAGTAAAGACCATTATAAAGCTCGAGAAGACCTTCAAAATATGGGCATAAGACCTGATCTTTGGCCTGATGAAAATGGTAAAATTTCTCCGGCTGCCTTTAGTTTAACAGGTAAAAATAAAAGGAATTTTTTAATGACTTTAAAGAATATTAGGGTGCCTGATGGTTATTCAAGCAACATTTCTAGATGCATTGACTTAGTAAATCTCAAGGTGAATGGAATGATGAAGAGTCATGATTGTCATATATTAATGGAACAACTTTTACCATTAGCCATTCGCACAACATTACCTCATGAGGTTTCAGCAGTATTGATTGAGTTGTGCTCATTCTTTAGACAATTATGTGCCAAGGTATTGAAAATTGAAGACATGGAAAAATTGCAAAACCAAATTGTCCTCACTTTATGCCATATGGAAATGTTATTTCCTCCCTCGTTCTTCACGGTTATGGTCCACTTGGTTGTTCACCTTGTTGAAGAAGTTAAACTTGGAGGTCCTGTTCATTATCGATGGATGTATCCTGTTGAAAGGTAAACTATGTGATTTTGTTCTAATGTTACTAACTTAATTAGAAAGTAGAAAGTTTTTTTAACTAGTGTTATTGTGGTTCAATGATAGGTACTTGGGAAAACTTAAATCGTATGTACGTAATAAGGCAAAACCAGAAGGGTCTATTGCAGAAGGATACCGTTTTGAAGAGATTCTTACATTTTGTTCAAGATATCTAGAAAATATTGAGACTAGATGGAATCAACCTGGACGTGTAGATGACGACCCTATTGATGATATCCAAACTGCTTCACGTGTAGCTGAATTATTTCCTAGAGTTGGAAAACCTGTGGGTGGATCTTCTTATTACACCCTAACACCAACTGAAAAATTGCAGGCTCATAGACACGTTTTAACAAACTGTCCAATAGTTGACGACTATCTAAAGTATGTAGTTTTATTACATTTAAGTAGTTTCATCTATACTATTAATATTTTTTTACATCTAATATCGAATAATCAAATAGGCAGTTCCGAAGTTTTACTCAAAACCAAATGAGGCGCAGTCAAAGAAGTGATACTGAGATAGACAAGAAGGTTCATAAGGAGTTTGCGCATTGGTTCAGCAATCGTGTGAGTTTTCATACAAAAATAGATGTTTTATTGAATTGGTTTTTAATAATAACAAGACTAATTGAATGTTGTATCATGTATAGATTCGCAACAATCTTGACAACATTCATGGGCCAGATAAAGATGTTCTCATTAGTCTTGCTCATGGACCTTTTGATAAAGTTAAAAGATTTACCGCGTTCAATGTCAATGGATTCAAGTTTCGAACGTTGGAACGAGACAATCTTTTAAAAACTCAAAATAGTGGAGTTTTTGGCATGTTTGGGACACGAAGTTATTCAAGCAATAGTGATACCCAAATGAGATTTGGAGGGGTCCCTTACTATGGAAGATTAATAGATATTATTGTGCTTTCCTATGATGGCTTCACAGTGCCCATGTTTAAATGTGAATGGGCTAATACCATAAACCCAAGAGGAATTAAGATAGATAAGTTGGGTTTTACCTCTATAAACTTTGCAAGACTACTACATACTAGTGAACATGAAGATAATGAGCCATATATTCAAGCATATGAAGCTCATATGGTTTTTTATGTAGATGATGAGAGTGAACAAGGATGGAGCATACCTGTTCATTTGAAGCCAAGAGACTTGTATGACATGGGTGGAAATGATGAAATTATGACACCCATTGAGCCATATCCATCACAAAATTTGGAACAAATATTTTCAAATGATGATCTTGGAACTTCAGCGACAAATGATGACAATAGTTAACATATAGTTTTTTATTGATAAGAATCTAGTTTGTTTGTAACTTGTGTGAGACTTAATGTATGATATTCCATTGTTACTCTATGTTCTTTGTTGCTTATCCCTAATTAATATGTTAGATGACATTGTTACTCTATGTTTTTAATTTATTGTGTTTATGTTATGTTTATTAAATTTGTATTCACTAATATATAATTTTGATGTTTACTACTTTTAGTGTACTTAATACCTATACTTGCAGTTGAAGCCTTTTGTGAGACAATGACTACACCATATGAGAATAGTCGCCTCAAAAGAATTGCAGAGAATAAGAAAAAGTTAGCGGCTCTCAATCTTCCTACACTCTCTCAATCCCTTCACAAATCATCAGAGTCTTCTTCCAAACCATCACTGGTCAGTCATAAATTCTCTATACTACTCCATACAAATTAATTGTACTTATTATTTACTAATATTCACTAATGTATTTTATTTAGTCTGTGAAGGGCCGTTCAAGGTTTGTACAACCTGGAGAGCTTGAAGTAAATAAGAAGCGCCTACGTTCAATTATAACTCGCAAATCATCAATAACCCCTCCACCAATGGAAACTACAATAACCCCTCCACCAATGGAAACTACAATAACCCCTCCGTCAATCCAAATTGCAAAAGATGTTGTGGTAAAAGATGAGGATGGAGATGACATGGTAGGAGATGAGGCTGATGATGTTGTGGTAGGAGATGGGACTGGAGATGTTGTATTAGGAGATGAGGCTGAAGATGTTGTGGTAGGAGATGAGGCTGAAGATGATGTGGTAGGAGATGAGGCTGAAGATGTTTTATTAGGAGATGAGGCTGAAGATGTTGTGGTAGGAGATGAGGCTGAAGATGTTGTGGTAGGAGATGGGACTGGAGATGTTGTTAAAGTGGCTAAATCTGAGTATTGGGATGTAAATGTCATTAGTAAGTAATTTAAGGTTAAAGTATCTATAAATAATTTAAATTTTTTACATAGTTGAGTTATGAAATTAATTTGTTTACTTTTTTAATGTGATAGACGAGGAAGGTTATGTTTCAAACACACGTTTATGTGTGAAAGACTTGGTTGCGAAATCAGAGCCTGATGGAACATGGATAATACTTGAATTCAATAAGAATGATTGTGCAGTAGGACCGGCTTCTGGTTTGCTAGCAGGATATTTGGGTATAATTATTAGAATGTTTAGAGATATTCCCATAATGTTTGAGAGTTGGAAGAATGTTCCAGCAGATACAAAAACAAAGTTTTATGAATCAAAGATAAAGGTATTATTAATAAACAATTACATATTTTTTAAATTAACTTCATGGTGATTATTATTTCCTTTGTCAACTAATATATTTTTATGTTTAGCGCCATTTTCTTGTGGATGATGGGTGTGACAAAGATTTTGTACTTGCTTCTGCTGCAAGGAAATGGAAGGATGCCCGACATACATTGTTTCACGAATTTTATAGATGGGATCTCCCTTTGGAGGAAAATCTTCAAAATTATCCAAAATGTAGAGGCATTCCTGAAAATGACTGGGCTGTTTATGTTCAATATAGGCGGAAAGAAAAAACACAGGTAACATTAGTGTTTTTATTTGTTAGATTTCTCTGGTTTGTATGTTATCCCTATCTATAATGCATGTTTTTATTTGTTACAAATGTAGAAAATATCCCAAAAAAATTCCCAAAATAGAGCAAAATTGAAGGCTCCGCATACACTCGGATCTAAGTCGCTTGCAAGGAAGAAACATGAGTTGGTATGTCTAAATCTATATGTTGTTGATCGTTTGCTTGATAGTACAAACAATTTATATTAGTTTTTATTTGCAGGAAATGAGAGATGGACGAACATACAGCAGAGGAGAAATGTATGCAGTTTCTCATAAAAAGCCTAACGGGTCATTTATCAATGAAGATGCATACAACAATAATGTAAGTACAAGTTAATTCTTTTGAAATACTGGGGAAAAAACGGTAATAGTAATAGAACCATCCCAAATATAACTCACCACTGGAAAAATCCTATTAGATAATAAGAAAACCTCAAAAGTTAAAATTTTCTATCAAATCTCAGCCATATAAATTGGCTGAGCATTGCCAGAACTTGAATGTAATAGGGTTTGATACTGGCATCAATTCATAATAATCAAATGGGGTACAGGGAATCGAAAGCTAATACTTCAAATTCACACACAACATTGTTACGTTTCTTTCAGAAATTAACAACATGACCTATCAGAAATTTATTCTTAGAATTTATATTAGCTGACCTGGAATAGAAGCATAAATTCTTTGAAAGAAAAGCGGCATGCCCCGTGTACTGAAGAATTAGACATGGGTAAATGATACAAGAAAATGCATCCTGCATGGTAACAAGGATACAATACTAAAAGTTAAAACGATCATTTTAAAAATAAAATAAACACTAGGCATTCTGTTTGAACTGAGGAATCACGATTATATGCCTAGATCATGGATGAAGGTGGATTATATCTTTAATGGTTTCATACCATAATTTAATTCTTTCACATGTAAAAGACACATCTAACATGTCCAGATCTGAAAAGTATATTATAACTAGGTATACAAACTGAGTGAGTGACAAAATGAAACCTTCATCACCCTAAAAGAAACCGGCAGCCAAATAATGCTAATCAATCTTGGGTATCTATTTGTAGGGTACACATTGATAAACGAAACTTCACCATTAAACTACGAAATTGAAATCCTACTTAATACTTATTAACTGCACCTACCCTTACAGATGCTTGTTTGTAGTACCCAAGGTCTGTAAACATAGCTTCACTTCCTGAAGTTATGCAAAAAAACATTAAGTATTTGTAAAAATGACACACAAGTAGGAGATGGAATTTTAAAAAGATACAGACCTGTTACACACAAAAATACCCCTCCAAGATTAGTCCAACCACCTTTTCCTGTAACCCAAAAGAATTTATATATATAATATGGAGAAAGAGCCCGATATATGCTTGGATTCCACTTGATGACATTGTAAATGCCAATCGTGAAAATAGATAGTAACCATAGGATGATTATGAGAGGAAACATGAAAGCAATCGCGTGGGAGCCACGGTGTTGCAAAATAAAGAGACCAACCAGTAGAACACAGGAAATAAGAGGCATCATACCTGCATAGATTAGAAGCGTAAGTTGTAATGGAAAAATCACCTATGCTGCATTTGACATATATTTGAAACATTGAAAACTGTGGGGTAACTTTAGTGGGAAATTTCAGAATAAATATCCTAGAGTGATTTTGTTTATACTGAAGAATGGTGGATAGCAAGCTTTACTGAACTTATTGTAAACAATTCTCCATGTCACATAGCAGAACCTACCCAATACACCATGATTTTTTCTTTGAAACAATCCATGAACCAGACAGGGAGTTTGGAGTATAATAGGAGAGATAGTGTAGGTAATAGGACATGACAAAAGTCATAGATAGTGAACATAATATTCTTTTTCTAAAACCTAAGGTATCCATATCTTCTTTTTTATTGTCTTAGTTGATATATTAACTCATTCATTTGTGCTCTTATGTTTTTCAATGAATTTTTTCAAATATGAGGGTGGTATATTTCTATTTGAGTAACCAGGCTTGCGATATGTAGATAGCTCCTCATCAGATGTTTGATGATTAGGAAGCAAACAAAATTTTGCATTTTTGCAAAGGTGAGAATACAAAGCAACAATCCCTCCTGCACAAGTTGAAAGCATTAGTACTACTACACTTAATACATATTATAAAGGGATTTTTTTGAGGAGGGGCAGGGGATCGAGACTCAAAATAATAATGAATAACAATCCTTACCATTGCTCAATGTACTGCTTTCTTATTATTCATGGCAAAAATGTCAAAATTATATACTAACAGTATTATTCAAGTCCAATTGCAATAGTTTGTGCCACCTCCTAGTTTGTGCCAACTTCTTTTTACGTATATATGGAAGTCCATGATTTGATCAAGAGGTTCTCCCCCAATATATTATTCTTGTTATATAAACAATAGCTCAATTTTTTCTTTTTCATGTGCAGAAAAAATTACAAGCTGCAATTAAGGATTCTGTGTCTGAAAATGAGGCATTTCAGAAAGTATTTGGAAAAGAAAAGCATGGATATGTTCGTAGTATGGGACTTGGAGTTACACCATCTCAAATTAATAGATCTACGAGATCGACATCTTCTTCTGCAGAAAGTGAACAAATAAAGGAAATGCAAGAAGAAATTAATGCACTTAAAGAAAAGAATTCAAAAATTGATGAATTAACACAGGCAATCATATTCTTAACGCAAAGGGACAAGGCGAGGACAAAGGAAATTGAACTCTTAATGCAAATGCAGAATTTTAGTGGAAGACAGGTATATTATTTTGACGCATTTAAAGTTAAATTTTATGAGTATTATTTTAAAGATTATTATTTTAATACCTTTTTTTAGGGATTGGAATCACCCGCTGATGGTAGACGTTCATCTGAGTCTAGCTACCGTATTGGAGATAATGGAACTTCAGGGGGGACAAATTAGACTTTGCTATGATCGAGATAATTAGATTGTGAACTTTCTCATGTATTTTTGGCATAATGATACTTATTATTATAAGATTAGGAATTGATATATTTTGGGTTTTTTGTACTACTTGACATGATTATGGAACTCGCATTTTACATGATTATGGAACACACATTTTTTTGGATATTATAATGCTTATTTGATGTTAAATATTTTTTATTGAAATTATTTTTACTATATTACAAAGTGATAGAAAATAAAACAAAAAATAATACTATAAATAAATATATTAAAGAAGAAATAATTTAAAGAAAAAAATAACACAAAAAAAAACTATATTTAAAATTTTTTACATAGATAATAATTTAAATAAAAAATATATATAATAGAAAAATAAAAAAAAAATCAAGACATAAACAAAAGTCATGGCGACAGTACCGAACCGTCGTAATCAACAATTAAAAATAATCAACAAAAGTCATGACGGTATCGAACCGTCGCCATAAACAATTTAATCAATTTCAAAAGATATTCACGACAGTATCGAACCGTCGCCATCAATAATTAAAAGAAACTCAAAAGATAGTCACGACGGTATCAAACAGTCACCAATACTTGATTATGTCAGCTCCAAACCCGTCGTAAACTTGAACGACAGTTTTTGTAACCGTCGCGAAATAGGTTGGGGACACACACTTCTGCAACGGTAACCGTCGTGGAAAGCAAATTGCGATGGTTTTAACCGTCGTAATCTACAAAAATACCTGTCGCAATCTGCCAATTTTCTTGTAGTGAGGTGCCAGCGAAAATTGTTGGACTAAATGCATAGTCGATTCGAATATTTTTGCAATCCTTTTTGAAAGTTTTTTATTGGATTAATTTGATTTAAGAAAATAAGTTGTAGTTGATTAAATATTTTTTAATATATTAATTATTAAAAAAATATATTTAAATGCATGATAGAAAATAAAATTTAATGCAATACAGAAAAATAATATTTTTGATGAGTTTGAAAAATGATATACTTATGTGGTAATAATAAATAATAGTATTAAATATATTTTAAAAAATAAAATAAATATTATAATTAATAAAATATGAGAAAATATAAAATTATAAAAATAATAAAATAAATAAAATAAATAAAATAAACAAAAAAAATGCAGGGGTGTAAATATAGTGAAGATAGTAAAACGGTGGGGTGCTAAAAGCATGGGCCTGAACTCAGATATTGAATTCAGGCCCAAAGGTAAAGAGGGTGCATTTTTATACTATCCAACAATATTGAGGGGCGTGAAGAGCTAAGGGCCCAAGTCCATATTTTGGACTTGGCCCATTTTTGGCCTGGAGTGTATTTTGTGTTGTGTAGGAAAGACAAATGCATGAGGGTGGTGTGCAAAGCTGATGGGCCAGGCCCAACGCGGTTTAGGATAGACCTGTCTGGACAACATGCACGCGGTTATAGGGTAACATGGTGGGGACGCGCGTTTAGGGTCGTATGATTGGAATCAAGTGGTTGTGATTCGATGACGCGTGGTAATACAATGAGATGGTGTGTATTGAATAAATTAAAAATATATATTACAAAAAAAATAAAAACAATTCATTGTATTGTTATCACCCTCTCTCTGTGTTCTTTGTCCTTCCCTGTTCTTCTTCTTTCACACCGAAAACCCTAGAACAAAAACTACAACATCCAGCGGCGGCCTCCAAACTCCAAATCAAATCTACCCAGAAACATCACCAAACCCTCAATTTCAACAAGAAGAACAACAAATTTAAGCTAAACATAATTTACCTCAAGGCAGTCGCGGATCCTCGAGCTTTATGTGTTTTCCGATTAGTTCCTCTGACCTTCTCCTTCTTCTTTGATTTGTAGGTAACTGTGGACGGTGGTGAAGCGGCGGAGATAAGGGATAGCGACAATCAAATAACTAGGGTTTCAGATATTGAAACCCTAGGCTAATCGTGGTGATCAGGGATTTGAAGATGACGGCGAGATGAAGATGTTCCCAATACCTCCTTCTATCGTATCTGTAAAATTTTCTTCTCTGCCAACTCCTCTGTTTTTCTCACGATCTATTTCTCTGTAATTTTCGTCCTTCCTTCTTTGTAATTTCTTTTTTTTTCTTTCTATTTTTCATTTTAGCTTTTATAGCGTTTTTAGGATTAGTCCTATTAGGAAAAGAAAAAATTTGTCTATAAATTTTAATTAGGTTAATTAGGGTTTGAATTTGATTTATGAAATGATTTGAATCTGTCTGTAAACTTGTATTGAGGTTATCAGACAACTTAATTAGTTTCTGTTTTTGCTTTGATTATGTTTTTATATCAGACCTTAAATAAATTTTGATTTGACATTTTATTTCTGTATTGATTGAGCGTCGATCAATTTATGTACTTGTTCTTGATTTTGTCTTTGTTAAGTCTTGCGAATAAGGAAACAAAAAAGAATTGATTATGTTTCCACTTGTGATTCAAACAGTACTTGCTTGCATTATTCTAGTTTTGGGCCTTGTAATTTTTGATGCATGTGTGTTTTTGGATTTGGACTTAGGCCCGCGTTTCATTATCTAACCCAAAATGTTTTAACCAAACTGGGCTTGTGACATTTGGGCAGTGATTTTAGAAGCTCTCTTTTTTTTTAACAATTCTCTTAAATAAAAACAGAAATTAATTAAATTTAATATAATATTTTAATATAATTAATAATATTAGTGTTAATAATAGAGATATTGACGATAATAAAAATAATATTATGACAATAGTAATAACAATTTCAATAATATTTAAAACAAATCAAAAAAACTACGGACCACCTTATTAGGCTTTATTAAAGACAAAATTTGTTCACACTTCCCTTAAAACAAAACACCTCCCATGAGATGAACTCTTATTTAAGAACCTAATGGGTCATCAGATATTGATGGCCCGTTTTAAATCTACACACTCCTTTTCTATGTTTTACTCCTTCCTATAGAAATAAAAATTAGATAATACGATTTATTTAAATGAAACTTGAACATAATTATAAGAGTAGAGCAAATTTGAGATATGACAACTATACAAAAGATGAAATCCACTCTTAATAGAGGAAAATGAAAAAATGTATACGATTTCAATGTGCCAAGCGCATCAGCAAAGTGACTGGCAGGAAATCAATCAACTGACGGGGTAAGAGATGAAGAGTTAGCATGCCGTGCCACAAATGACTCAACAAGTGGGTTCACAAGCTGAGGTGCTTCATCCTTCATGAATTGTACAGTTGAAAAAGTAAGATTATGGTAAACAAAATAAAATACATTTGATTAGATATGGTCATTTAATGTTGAAACAAATTCTAACATAGAGATAGAAATGAAATAAAATACACTTGCCAAAAACAAGAAATGGAGAAAAAGGATATATTTATGTAAACCATCACTATGGATCAACATTGAAGCTTATTTACTTAAGAATGGTCATTTTAATTATAACAGTCTCTATTAGAAGTCTCACATTCTTTAATAGAATCACAAGGAAAGATACCCCCACTTTCTTCTAGATATGCCTATGCGTCCTATTACCAACACTTTGAAATAGTCAGGTTGGAGCCTTTTGGCACCATGTTACCCTTTTCTGGATGATGCTTGACTTTTTCTAGCAACACTGGAACTTATTGCAAGGTGAGAACGAGCCAATTACAAATTCAATTTTGGCTTAAGATAGCATGACTGATTCCAAGCAAGAAAATTTATGCTTAGAAAGCCAATACCATAAATCAGACAACTAAAATCCCTATACATGTGTTGATGCATTTGGCAAGGCCTTCCGGGAGACAACAAAGACATACAACACAACTAATTAATCAGAGACACTTATGAATTTTTTGACTGATCCACTTGAGGGGAGATCGACACTTAAACCAACAGATGTTTTGGTGTACAAATGGGTAGGAGGGTGTGGACTTGACGGGAGTTTCTCCACTGGCGGGTTTAAGGGATGGTAGTTTTACTGTGGAACAGGCAGCTCTTAAAGTTGCTTCTAGTAAAGTGGTTAAACATAAGAAAGCGTGTTCTGAAAATCAATATGTTTTTTAATACCATTTGCCTTTGACACTTTTGGTTTCCTAGCATCAGAAGTCTTTGATCTTTTACAGAGAGTTCAAAGGCTTATGAATAGCAATGTTGTATCTCCTAAGTCTATGGATGTAGTTTTTAAGATGATTGGTTTTGCGATCCAAAAAGAAGTAGCAACGTAGTTTGTTGTCCACTTGCCTTCTATTTTTGTATTGACTTAATTTTTCATATATTAATTAATCAGATGACAGATAATAAAGGAAACTTCCTTAGCTCAAAAGGTCAAACTATCATTCAATATCTTCTAGAAGACTTAAATTCTTCTCGACATTCTAACTCAATGTTGATCGTTAAACATAAGTCATTGGGGGAATGATTGATGATTGCTGAAGTTAATGTTGACAGAAGATAAATAGATCAAATACCTAACGTACAGATGACCAATACCCAAACATACCGCCGTACTCTAAAAACAACTCGCATAAATAGACATGTCAATAGAGGAAACTTTAGTTAATGCCAATAGCACTTTCTTCGTACGAAATGGTTTCAGATCTTCCATCTTATCAAATTGATTTTGGGTATGGTGAGATTAATGATTGGATTTTTACAGAGAATGAGTTCATCTACCGAGGAACAGTTTGCTTCACTGTGACTTCAATTTTGATGCTGCAGCAGGTTTTGATTTTGATTTCTTCTCACCAATTCATACTTATGGTTACGACTTTCCCCAACTGCCTACGAAGGAGTAGATGTGTAGAAGTGGTCATAAAAGATGATAGTTTCTTTAAAAGATAAGCAGGATTATACCCTGGCATTAGAGGATTTTTGTTCCATTCCTCAAGCATTACCAATTCCAATTTGAACAACCTTTTGTTTTGTATATAGTAGTTACTAGTTATGAGTCATGACTAGTATCTTTGTATGGGGTCCATAAGTATGTACTGTTGTCACTCTCTTACTAAGTCGTAGAACTCATGTCTCAACAATTGATAACTATTATTACTGTGTTGTGTGTGACAGTTAATATGATATCTTATAATGCACAAGAAGAAAAACAATCATCACTTAAAAAATACTAACTCAAACTCTTTTTCATATATAATTGTATAAACATCACAGAGAGCAAGCAAGTGAATGACATGAGAGAAAGAGAGAACCTGGGGGCAATGCCCAACATTTGGAAGGACAATGAAGTCTTTTACTGAATCAAAATTTCCGTAATTTCTTCCCATCTCAATTGGTTCCCAAGGATCCTTGTCACCCCAAGCTATCAAAACTGGACACTGAAATAAGAGAAATCATTAATTTTATTTATGGTTGTTACATTTCAGTCTATTAAAACTTCCTACCTTTTCTCCTAGGGTTGGAGGAAGCTTACCTTTACTTGGGGTAGCAATTCCTCTGGAAGAGGGCCACCAGAGTAACAAATAAACTCAAGAAAAACCTCTGCAGCACCAGGTTCCAGTCCTGGACTAAGGATGATCTGCACTAGCTCATCAGTCACCTTGGAAGTGTCATGATAGCACTGTCATTCACGATCATTAAATTTCAGGTAAAAACATATGTTTTCTCAGCACATAAAGCATGCTACGGTTTCTTATAACATCATCGTTAGATATCCATCAATATAAATAAGTGTACATTGAGAGAACTAGGAGACAAAAGAGAGGATCCCAATTCAAGAGATAATTTATGTGGGTAAGCCCGAAACATTAGTCTGACATTACATCTGTTAATGTGTGGAACACTTTTAGTGAAGAGAGAAAAAGAGAATAATAAAGTAAATAAGAATTTGTATTATTGAATTGTACAAATAATCATACACATTATGACTATTTATATACAACTCTAATTGAGCTTAAGTTAACACAATTTGGATTATATTTAAATATTAAATCTAATTAAATCTAATTTAATATTTTAACACACCCCTATAATCCAAGTTGTCGAATATCCTCAAAAATAGTCAATCAGAAGTATTTCTAATTTCTTTCTCAAATTCAAGAATCTGTCGATCTTCAATCCTTTGGTGAAAATGTCGGTCAACTGTGCTTCACTTGAGCAATGCCTAACTTCAAGTTCATCTTGATTTACGTTTTCCCTCAAGAAGTGAAACCTTGCTTCAATATGTTTACTTCTTCCATACAGAACTGGATTCTTCTCCAGATTTATGGCTGACTTGTTGTCGATTTGCAATACTAGAAGTTTTTTCACTTCGACAGTTATTTCTTCAAGTACAGATCTGATCCAAATTGCTTGACATGCAACATAGGATCCTGCTATATATTCAGTTTCACACGATGACAATGCCACCACAGGTTGCTTCTTCGAACACCATGAGATTGGGGCACCAAATACTTAAAAGAAATATCTAGTTGTGCTTCTTCGGTCTTCCTAATCTCCACACCAATCAGCATCTGAAAAGCAATTAACGATTGCTTCTTTGCCTTCAGAATCTCGTCGAAATAATATTCCACAATTTATTGAACCCTTCAAATATCGCATAATTCTTCTTGCAGCCTTCATATGTGACACTCTTGGTTCACTCATATATCTACTTACTAATCTGACTGTGAAACCTATATCAGGTCGACTGTTGCACATATACCTCAGAGATCCCATAATTTGCTTGAACAAAGTTGCATCGACTTTGTCTTCCTCTCCATTCTTCTCCAACTTCACATTTAGTTCTACAGGTGAGGATGCAGGATGCGAATCATCCATTCTGAATCTCTTGAGTATCTCTTTGACATACTTTCTTTGATGTAGCACCATACCTTGCTTCGACATTTGAAATTCCATGCCTAGAAAATAAGACAATTTTCCTATATCCGACATTTCAAATTCCTTCGTCATCAGCTCTTTGAACTTCGACAAGTTCTCCAAACTATTTCCAGTTACTAACAAGTCATATACACACAAGTAGATGATTGTTATATCTGTGCTACAACCTGAACATAGACACCATACTCTGATTTGCATTTGACAAATCCCAATTCGACTAAGTATGAGTCGATCTTCTTGTTCCATGCCCTAGGTTCCTGCTTGAGGCCATAGAGAGCTTTGTGCAATCTATATATTTTACCTGCTTCCTTCTGAATCACAAACCCAAGAGGTTGTGTGACATAAACTTTTTCGTCTAAAGTACCATTCAGAAATGTTGATTTCACATCTAGATGGAATGTCGACCAGCCTTGGTTGCATGCCAATGCTACCACTATCCGAACAATCTCTAATCTTCCTACTGGAGCAAATACTTCAGAGTAGTCAAGTCCTGCTCTTTGAAGAAAACCTCGAGCTACTAATCTTGCTTTATGTCTTGCTATCTGCATTGTGTTTCAACTTGAACACCCACTTTACTTCGATAGCTTTTGTATATGCTGGTAATTCGACTAACTCCCATGTGTTGTTTCTTTCGATTGCCTGTAACTCTTCGACCATAGCTAACTTCCACTTGTTAATCTTCAAAGTTTCGCTATAGTTGATTGGTTCAGCACCTGCAAGTAAAGCAAAATGAACTAATTCTCCATCTGGTGTGATTTCATCATCACCCACCACTTCATAATCATGAAGTCTTGTTGGAAGAACTCTATTTCTTTGAGGTCTTTGGCTTTGTTTCAGCCATAGCCTCTTCGACTTCGACTGTGTCGGAAGTGTCAACAGCTGCTTCTTCTTCGACTTCGACTGGATTCTCAACAATTCCTTCGACTGGATTCTCAACTTCATTAGTTTCTTCGTCGAAATCAAAGTTCATTAATGGCTTGTTGCTAGAATTCCAATCCCAAGAAGAATTTTCATTAATCATGATATCTCGACTCAACACAATCTTCTCATTAACTGGATTGAATAGTCTATATGCACCAGTTTTATGATATCCTACCAGAATCATAGGTTCACTCTTGTCATCAAGCTTCCTTCTCCTTGCATCAGGAACATGCTTCTAACACATAGAGTCAAACACCTTCAAATGACTTACTGATGGTCGTTTGCCACTCCACACTTCTTCAGGAACCTTGTTCTTCAATATCTTAGTAGGACACCTATTCAAAATATAAACTGCAGTTGAAACAGCTTCTCCCCATAAAGACTTTGGCAAATTCTTTTGCTTCAGCATGCATCTCGCCATATCTAATATGGTTTTGTTTCTTCTTTCAGCAATTCCATTATGTTGAGAAATCTTCAAACATCTTGGATGTGTATTCGCTACCTCCATCTGTTCGGAGAACTTTGATCTTCTTCTCACTCTGGTTTTCGACAAGTATCTTGAATCTCTTAAAGATTTCGAATACTTCGTCCTTTCGTTTGATCACATAGATCCACAGCTTTCGACTAAACTCATCGACAAGCGAAACAAAATATCTGTTTCCACCAATTGTATGTTCTTCGAATGGACCACATACATCTGAATGCACCACTTTGAGAATGTAGGATGATCTCATTGACATAGTCAAAACGAAAGAATTTCTGGATTGTTTTCCCACTAAACAACCTTCACAAAGTTTTTCAGGCATCTCAAGGCTTGGAATACCAGTAACCGTATCTTGAGTAATCAGTTGATTAAGTGATGGAAAGTTCAAATGTCTAAACCTCAAATTCCACAACCAACTCTCCTTGTGGTCGACAATAGTTTTTAAACATTGAACTTTTGTCGAACTGATCATAGTCTTAAATGTCATGTTCTTCGACAATGGAGATTTTAAGACCAAATTTTTCTTGGTGTCGAACAATTTCAAAACTCCATCTTTCATGACAACTGAGAAACCTTTTTCGACTAGTTGTCCAACACTTATCAAGTTGAATTTCATTCCAGGTACATAGAGCACATCTTTGATCATAGCTTTCCTTCCATTACTCATTTGAAAGACTATGTTTCCAGTACCTTCTGCTTGCAACGAACTATTATCAGCAAGTTTGACCTTTCTCTTCTTCGACTCGTCAAAATCTGTCAACCACTCCTTTCGACCAGTCATGTGGTTCGAGGAGCCTGAGTCGAGAAACCAGATCTGGGATTCGACATGGTTATCTGCAACTGCGGCCATAACCACCATACCACCTTCAGAATCATCTGAATCTTGGCGTGCAAGGTTAGCTCCTTCGTCCTTGCCTGTCGATCCCTTGTTTTTTCTATACCAACAATTCTTGGCCAAGTTTCCCCACTTTTCACAGTTATATCACTGCATATCTCTCTTATCTTCTTTGTCATTTCGATAGTTTCCTCCTCTCCTTTTCGAGAATTCAGAAGATCTATCTTCGACCATATTCTTATTGGGATTCGACCAAGACTTCTTGCCATGAGTCTTGTCGAACTTGCCTTTGAATTTGTTGGAACCACCATCCTTTGCCTGTATCGAGTCCTGGACTCCTTTCCTTTTGATAATCCTCATCTCATGCGCCTCCAACGAACCAACCAAATCTTCCACTTTAGTGATTTCAAGATTGTTGGATTCTTGAATAGCTACGATAACGTGATCAAAGTGAGAGGTCAACGTTCTCATTAACTTCTCAACTATCATCTTATCAGTAATGGTTTCACCACAATCCTTCATGAGATGGACGATTTCTAAACTTTCGGCACATATTCTACAACTTTTTCATCTTCTTCCATCGACAACAACTCATATTATCGACGCAAGATTTGTAATTTGACAATCTTGACTTTCTCACCTCCTTCGTAATACTTCACCAGAATATCCCATGTCTCCTTCTCCGTTTCAGCATGAGAGATTCTGTCGAAATTAGCAGCATCGACAACCGTTTGAATGCAATAAACATCCTTGCAATCTTTCTTCTTGACTTTGTTGTGGGCTTTTTTTTTTGTCGGTTGCATTTGCAGGTAACTACTTCTAGGGTTTCATGGAAGCCAAACAAGGATTGCATCTGTTTTTTTCATCGGATCCAATTTTTACCGTCAAGCATTGGAAGAGAATTCGGAATGCCCTTATCACTAGCCATCTTTGCAGCGGTTGATTCACTTGCCCTAGAAAAACGATCTCTGACGTGAAATTCTTGAAAACTTGATCAAGAACAATAACCAGAAGCTCTGGATACCAATTTGTTAGTGTGTGGGGCACTTTTAGTGAGGAGAGAAAGAGAGAATAATAAAGGAAATAAATATTTGTATTATTGAATTGTACAAATAATGATACACACTATGACTATTTATATACAATCCTAATTGGACTTGAGCTGACACAACTTAGATTATATTTAAATATTAAATCTAATCAAATCTAATTTAACATTTCAACAACACCAACACATGTGATTATACTCAACTTCTTTCATTTTTTTTTTAAAATTATTACTTTTGTCGATGTGTCTGTGGCATATTTGGTGTATGTGAATGCTTCATAAGAAATATTCCGATATCTGTAATCAAATACATCAGTTATTATCAACAAGATCGTTCCATTTCATTATAATGCATTAATAGACTCATCCTCCATCTCTTCTTTCTGTTTGTCTATCAAAATTCTTTAAACATAAGCTTTCAACAAGAAGCAGTCTAACTAACTGTTAAGCTAGAAGAGTACCTGGCAAAGAATGTTCTTCACAGATTCTTTCGTTGCAACAGCTTTAAAGAAGAATTTTCCTACAGCAGTATCCCTATAACATACAGCTTGATAAAGGTAAATCCCCGGCATAACGTTTGAACTTGAAATTTATTCACATATAAAGAAACTCGTGTTTCATTTGTACCTAAGCAATCTTTGAAATGAGCTGATGAAAGGTCTTCCATACCACGGCTGCTTTGTTATATGAAGCATACGCAGAGATATATTGAGAAGTACAATCCCCTGACAGATTTCTGGTTCCACTATAGCTGCCTGAAGACCAACAACTCCTGCACAAAAATAAAAAACCAATTCCGGGAAAGTAATTTAAAACAAACCCAAGCAATGATTAACTATCAAGTAACTTCCAAAAAAAGTAATAAAATCTTATTTTGCCTATAAAAAAAAAAGTAACTTCAAAATAATATACCTCCAATAGAATTGCATATAAAAAATGCTTTATCCTTAACGACATCAAGACAAAATTCATTTAATTGCTTGGCCCATGTATGAAAAGTATAGAAGGAATCGTCTCCAATTAGCCGGGGATTCGGTTTATCTGAATATCCATAACCAATAAGATCAATAGAGTATACGCGGTGGGATTTCGCTAGATCTGGAATGTTTTTCCTCCAGTGGTCACTGCAAGGAAGTGTATTCTCAAATCTCAATCACTCAAATTAACTGCAGAACCAAAAACAGACCTAACTATAAGACTCATAAATAAACATTTAATATAATAACATAAATGTGACATGAATTTTGTTTTTGAGGTAAACCTGTTAGCTCCGAAACCATGCACCAAAACTAGTGCAGGACCGTTGTTTCCAGAATATTGATAGCGAATAAAGTAACCCTTCCAATTCCACATGCTACAAGTGCATAACAAGGATGAAATATACTAAAAGAGACACACGAGAAGCATTTGATCATGAATAAGAACAGTATTTGATTCAGAATTACCGTGTTTGAACTTGGAGCTCTTCATTTTGGATACTTAATTTGGAAACAATTTGGTTACTGAAACTAGAAAATGCTATAACACTGTTTCGTTGGGGAGAACGGGTTTTGGGGAAAGAGAGTGGTGTTCGACGGTGGAAGAGAGTGAGGGCGGTGGTTGTGGAAGCAAATGTCAT